AAACAACGTTTTCTTCCTTTCTTCTCCTTTTCTCTCTTTTTTTCTGTTATTTGCTGCTTTGTTTCTTTCTTCTATACTAACTCTATTTAAAACTTTTTTCTTTATTCTCTCACACTCTGTATATCTCGACATTTTGTTACCGATTACGCCAGTAAATATGCTAGTATCTACTGTGTTCTAACACTTTCAAACATTCTATTCACTTTTGGGTTTGCTACCAATATGCTAATATGTTGTTTGTCAAAACGAACTGAGAATCTATGTAGAATTTTATTTATTGTTAATGTACTAACTGGATGCAATACTGTAGTAAAATGCTGAGATTTCCATTCTGTATCATAAGTACTGTTTTGGAATAAAGGAAATTATTTCTATTATCATTACTATTATTATGTTAGCTGGTTGAAAGCAATCAATAGGTAGCCTTGGATCTAGATTTCATGCTTGTTGGCACTTGTCAGCGATATCTATCAGCAATCTTGAAGGAACTCAAATCCGTGTCATGCAGTGCTTCAGTCACCGATGTTACTACTGAGCTATCTAGCACTATGGTCACATTATTAATAACTTGACTGATAGAATTCAGTCTGCACCAAACAAAGGACTAGATGCATGACACTAGCTATTACCTAGTGTTCAATCAAAGTATGCAATACAGTCCTGCAGGAGTTAAAATGCGAGCCCGAACTGCCCAATGTTAACGTCTCTGACTGCAGCACTGGTTGACACGGGTTCAGATCTCAAGAAGGACATAAGTTCCTTCAAGGTTACAGATAGCCTTTGCAGACAGGTATGAACAAGCAAGAAATATATGTCCAAGCCTTCCTGTTGATAGCCTACAACTAGCTAATAGCTAGGAACTGAAAATGGTCTTTACTTCGTCATAAGCATGATTACTATTTGTCAGTAGACATTTGCTTTACCTGAAGCTTTATTCCACAGATATTCAGTCCTTCACTTTACACCTATACTACTAAATTTTGAATGGCTAGAGAACTATAAAACAACTAGAGGTAAGTAAAATCTTTATATGAGATAACTATACTGAGGAGTACTAGCTGAGAAAGTGCTTAGTTGGCTTATCTGATGATAAAAACACCACATATGAGGAATATTCTAGATATTCTGCCTAGATTTAAGACAGAATATTTTTTCTCATTGAAGATTTTTTCAGAATTTTTAAGTATTGACTAAGCCTATCTAGGTTGCATTTCTGCTTTTGACTCAGTATCTAAATATATTTTGATAAATAAGTTTGCTTAAACCTTAACTAAGTGTTGGGTTGTCAGCTGGTTGCATTCTTATTTCTCAAAAAGAATGAAGTGCACTGTATATAAGGGGAAGTCGTCCACATCATCGCTTGTTGAGGATTGCGTCCCTCAAGGCGCTATTCTTTCTCCTTTTCCGTTTTCTTTCTTCTTGCATCACTCGTCTCACCGTGATGAAATGAACTTTGTTAAGTATGCGACAACTTAACTGTTTCAAGGTCTGTTAACTCACAGCTATACTGTACTAAGATGAACAGCTTTCTATCAGGAGTCAGCAAATGGCCTTTGTCTAGTGGTCTGAAACTAAATCCTCCAAATGTCAGACTGTTAATTCCAGTTTCAGATGTAAAAGAAAGTTATTGAAGCTATTAATTCCCATGACCATTGCGAAACTGATGATACTTGCATAGAAATCAAGTCTGACGTTAAATATTTTGGACTAATTCTTCTTCTGATCTATCCTGGTCTTCCCATGTATTAGCGATTTCTAAAAGAATATTTTGTCTGACTTTCTACATTAAGAAGTTAAGGCAGTCAGGCATAACTCAACCTCTTCTCCCTTACAGTTTGTCAACTCTTGTATCTTACCTATTATTCTTTATTGTTCACCGTTATTATTTCCTGGGCTGATTAAAAAAGATTATGTCAAACTTCGTAGGACTTTGAAAACTGTCAGTATGGCGAGTGGTACCCCATTGAGCCACATCGTTGACATCGTCATTGATAGGCACTTGATTTCATGCAACAAATTCTCTAAACGGATTTTGTCAGATTGTGAACATCCACTTTACTCTCAGCATTCATCTTGCATCTCCTCAGATAGAACAAGATGTCATTTCAAAAGACTTTATGCGCGCACGTATAAGTATAAAACTTCCACGATATCCATATTTGGCTGCACGGATCTTATGTGATGAAATAGTATTAGGGACGAACTAACTAATCTTTTAACCACTAGTAAATAAACAATCTTCTCCACCCTTATACCCTCAAGCTTTACTGTTATTATTCTTCGTATATTTAAAATCCTCTCACTTTTTTCGTTTATTTTCTCATAAGTGTAAACATCATTTCAGCTCTGTATTAACTGTTATTTATTTTTGTTTTTCCCTTCTCCGTGTTATATCAAGATAACGTTCGATTCAGTACTCTATAACAGTATTGTTTGAAACAAACCCACTGTTGTTGTTGTTATTATTATAGTTATTATTCTAATTTTGTACTTTCCACATTTTCAACCTTATTCCTACTGTAAATGTGAATAAATTCCTGAGGTTAATTTTATTTATATTTTGAGTAAATTGAATGCAATACTGTGACAAATGCTGAGAATTCTATGGTGTATTATAAGAACTGTTTTCAGAATAAGGCAGATTATTATTATTATTATTACTAAGTAGGTCATAACTACTAAAAGTACAATTTTTCTGGATTTAACTCAATTTACGTATTTATTTTCCTGATCTTGAACCGTATGTAGTTCAGTTAGCTCAGTATCGGAATGTTGTTCCCTCTCATTCACCAGTCATATGCTATAATTAATTAGTATAGTTTAACTGAAACTCATTTGTGTAGTTGTTCATCAGAAGTCTTCATTAAGGAACATTAAGTTTCAGATTTAGCGGGGATAGGCTACGGAATATTAAAAATAACATAAATGATTGTGGCATTACATTATTACTGAAATTCTTAAAATTCTGTCTAAATAATTTCTGTTATAAAGACGTTCAAACTAACTTCATATACAATAGTTTGAAAACACTTGAGTAATGATTAAGTGGTGTTTCTTATTACTAGAGATTTGTATTTCACAATGAATAAAAAACAGAATGATACTGACGTGTTGGTTTGTAGGGATTCGGTTGGTTACGGGATTTCATCATGAGCTGACATAAGTTAGAGAACCATCGGAAAACCTGGGGGTACCGACATCCGTTTCGTTCTAGCTATCTGGGACTCTTCAGAAGTACGCACTAGCCAACAAAGTTCGAACCCAGGACCTTCTGGTTACAAGGCGAACTCGTAGACCATTAAGCCACTGGGACCCGATCCAATGGCCAGCCCATAAATTCTAACTTCTGCCAATTCATGACATAGCGCGACCCCTAGCCAGTATTATATTGTTTTCATTGTTGCTTTGTCATTTAACTGTAACAGTGTTGTCGACGTAAAAATTGAACACGAACTTGAGAAATCTCAAGTACATATATATGATAATTCAATCACAGTTCTTCTAAATGATTCCACTCTGATTTGTTAGGTGAATGATTCGATAAAGATTGTTAAACTTGATAACTGTGTGAATTTTAAAATAACACCATGTGTTCAAGTAGTGAAAAAGAACTCTTCAGGGAATTTTATTCCTATAAATAGATAAGAACATTAGCATAATCGAGAAGTCACTCCAAAAACATGAATCACAGAGTTGGTTTTTCATGAAGGTCGCAAGCATCGAAATAGATAAGAAGAGCCTATAATAAATTCAGCATCATGGTATTCCTGAGTATGTTAAACAAACTTAAAATCTACAAATATTGTTACCTTTATCAGTTTATTTACTCAACAACTCAGAGTGAGTTATATTTGATATTCAGATCATTTTGTCCCAAAGTAGGATGAAACATGTGTCCAGTGTTCTCTGGTTTCAGTGATGCTGGTTCGCAACGAAAATATAACAAATAAACCATAATTGAGTTACCATATATCTATTTATATACTGAAGTTATGTGAATAATTGTCTAATTTTTAACTTGATAAAGCTACTACCATTAAACAGCAAAGCACCAGAGAGACAATCTAAGATTGGCAAGTCCTCCTTTTATGTTAATTCAAACTACATATATCAGTTAACACGTATGTGCCAAAGCATATATATTGGAGAGACAGAAAAAAAGGATTGTGACCGCACATCCAAACACACACTAAAAAAATGACTGTTTAAAGGTGCAGATGTCCTTAGTTGTGCGATCGCTAACTACTCATCAGATAGTGATCATGAAATCGATGCACTAAAATCCTTTTAAGATACGTTCAGGGCAGCTGGAGTATACTGCATATCACAAAGCAACTGCCTTGGCGGACTTCTTAAACTTGGTCTACCAAAAACTTCCTTCTCTCTGTTTCATATATTTTCTCTAGTTCAGGTTGTTTTAATCGATTAAGGTATGACCTCTGATGGTATTATCTACTCTTGTGTGTATTTAAAATGTATACAAGCTTCAGATTCGCAAGTTCCTACTAAACTTGAGGAATGATTTGATCGTAGGTGGCAACGTGTCCCAATGAGTGTGAGGACAATTTTTTTCAGTTATGTCCTTGAGTCTCAAAATGTGTTGTGAATAACTTGAAGGAAACAAAGCAGATATATCACCACGAAGTGGTTAGTACTTCAGCACATAGACTGTTGTATCACAGGATATACTGTCAATTAATATTTTACTTGAAGGTATATTACAAAGGGAAGATATCATGCAATGGACTCATCTAAAAATCCTGTACATTTTATAAATACTGTCCAGTATAAAGACGTTATTATTATCATCATTATTACAATCGAACTTATGCATTCAGAAGAAAGTAGGTGTTAATCTTGCCTTACAATGATAAATATACTTTGCGTTACTTTAAATTTCTTATTTTTTCGGTAATTTTGTTAAGTCTAATTTACTCTGACAATGTGATTCCCACCAAATGGACTATTCTTTTATCCCTGTTGACTAAATTATTTAATCTTTATGTAAGCTTGTTGTCGATTCGCAACATTTGAGGATTAGATCTCGATCGTCTCGCATGATGAAAAGATTCCACAGCGTAAACAACCAACCAATATCCGTCTTCATCTTGTACAGCCTCAGCGTCTAGTTCTCTCATGCTGTATACATAACCATCGTTGTCTATATTGAACAAACCGAATCCTGAACCGCCGATTATAGTATAGAAAACATTTAAACCCTCAGAATCCATTGCATCTAACTTCAGCTTAGATTTTAGACTACGTTCTGAATAAACAAAACTTCCAGAAGGCTGATTTTCTTGTATCCATCCACTAAAAAGAGCTGGATGTTTTGTAAAACGCGGTGGGAAAACATTCACTTTTACAGACAACACGTGTACAATGAATGATATATTAGCGTATAATTGTGATGCACCCTGATCCATAGCCCAAACAGTAAGTACATGTGTGCGAGCACCTCTTCTCAAATCACATCCTGCAGCTAAACGTACAACACCAGTAAGCTGGTCAGTATGATAAATGTCGCACTACTCTCTTGTTTCCCAAATAAACTATACCTGATAAATGCATTCCTGCCTTCATCTCTATCAGTAGCCAACAATGTTGTTATATAAGCACCTTCAGGAATATCTTCTGGGACATAAACAACATATCCATCTGAACCAACATAATGCTCTTTAACCTCAACATGTAAACCATCCACAGGATCAAGAATAAGCGGTTTGGATTCACGCATAGGATGTACACTACGCACATAAATAGTGACATTTGAACGACTGATATGCGCAATCAGTTTATGACTATCCCAAGCTTCAATGTGTAGGAAAAAAGTTTGATCTCTTGACAGAAAAGATGTAGGTGTGTTGATGATGATCTCTGAAAGACTCGAATTTGGTGCAACATGTAAAAGGCCAGTATTTTCATCCAGAGTGAAGTGTTCAACACCATCACCACCGACAAGATAATAATGAACCGAGTCATTCAAATCAGGATCTTCTGCTTTAATTTGTAGAACTAATTCATTTGGATAAGTCGGGAGAAGTAGTGTAGACTGTAGGTAGTAAGGATCTGTAAAAATCGGTGGACTATCATTTACATCTGTCACTTCAACACTAATTCTTATTAAATGATCAGCAGTAAGCGACGGTTTACCAGAATCACTAACTTCAATCATAAAATCATAGCGTGCTTTCATCTCCCGATCCAATAATGATGCATGATCCGATAAACGTAATACTCCAGTTGAATTATCGATAACAAATAACTGATGATTACTGCCCGACTGCGGGCCAACAAGTCTATAAACAAGTTTTGCGTTTATACCCACATCGAAATCGATCGCTTTCAAAGCAATTGGACCAATATAACCTGGATCACAAGTAGTCACTAAATTATCGTCTATACAATGACCAACGATCATAGTACCAATGGGGCATCCTCTGAAATCCAACCGATCATACGACTAGGACCAATAATTTTCGGTGGGTTATCATTTAAATCAAGAATTCGTACTTGAATAGTTAAACGATCGTAGAACATATTCCGTATACCACCACCAGTACCGATAACTTCAACAACAAGACGATGAAATTCCCCATGTCTTTCTCGATCTAGTCTGACTAGCGTCATTAACAAACCTGTATCAATGGTGACATGAAATAAATCCATAGAAATATTTGAATTCGCTAAAGAATCCGGCAAAACATTTATTGCTTCACCTCTGACAAGTCGAAATGCAACAAAACCAGGAATAGCAGAATCAGGAGTAAGTTGACGCATTATTGGTGCTAACACTGTATAAGGCGGAACATTTTCATATATGGATAAATGGAGTACACTATCTGAGGCGAAACGAGCGCTGGGGCATCAATACCACCTGGACCAGGGACAATATGAATATTTACTTGTGTATGATTGGTTTTCGATACAGGCGCGCCTTGATCACTTGCAGAAACAATCAGACGATGAGTTCGAACGAATAGTTTGGAGCTAAGCCCGGAGATAAACTCTCAACCGGTTGTTGAATAGGCATAATTAGGAAGAAGTGATTTGGCTAGTATTATACATCCATTCAGTGGTTCAATAGCGAAGAAATCAGAAGTATCACCTTTTACGATGCTATACACGATTTTTCCATTTTCATCAGAATCTGGATCATATGCTGTAACACAACCCACCGAACTATTCACAGGATTCAATCCTGATATATAAAATGTAAAAGTGCCTAAATTTTGAAACTCTAAATCATTATCCAATACATTGATATGATGACTTTCTAACTTTGAAGGGATGTATAAACCAAAAAATTGTGGTGCATATTCATTGACATCTAATATATTGATATAAATAGTTGCATACGATGTATATGAACGTAAACTGGAATAACGGACAGCAATCAAGAGATAATGCTTTTTAACAGTTTCAAAATCCAATAGTCCACTGACGCGTAGTTCACCTGTGTATTCATTCAAAGTGAATAAACTTCGTGTTTGACTTTGTTCAACAGACGTCATCGAGTAATGCAATTTCTGCTTAGCACCTGAATGCGTTTCATTCACATAAAGCTGACAAACAAGACTACCAGTCATTGTAGACTCAGATAGATTTACATGAATAATTATATGCTGAAAATAATACTGACTGTTTGAAGCATTTTTCTCTTGCTGAGACAACATATCATCTGTTACCGATAGAGCACTTGCATCAGTAGATGTTGTGTCTTCAGGAGTACGATTTTACGATCTCACACGTTCCTGGAAGTGAGAATGTCTTGGCAGATTTGTTATCGAGACCAGAAGATGAGTCTGAGTTGCCTGAGGTCGCTTACGGAGTGCATGCAGTAGAACAAGACCCACTAAGACTTGCACGCAGGCAGAGGTTGGACGATACGCTGAATACAGTAATACAGGTGATCAACAACCGTCACGGTTTTACTCTTGTGATTTGTTGCATGGATACTTGCTTGTCAAATCTGATCAGTGTTTGGCAGACCCTAGTCAGTGGTCTGTCATGTCAGCTAGCTGAGACCAAGTTAGAGCTTACGCGTAGTCGAGAACTCAATGAACAGTTGTCAAAGCAATTAAGTGAAACTAGCAAGCAATTATCAGATGCTATTAACAAATTTATTGAATTTCAAAATACCAGTCAAATTGCTACTGCAAAGTCAGCCAACATCATCCCTGTACCGTCTGCATCGAATGCTTTGCTTGAAACGCCTGCTCAAGAACTTTCGAAGGCTATCAGTGAACTTCGACACTGGCTTCCAGAAGGTATGGCAGCAGCTGCTTGTGCTGCTGTGAATGCACGCTTATCACCACCAACTCGTACACAATCATTTGGTCAGCATCAATCACCATGTCGTTCTGAAACACCAATACAATCAAATAATCGTATAACCGTACACGAACAGCACCATCACCAACAGCAGCAGCAGTAAATCTCTACTGTCATTTCATCTCCAAAATCAACACGTATTTATATATATTTCACATACATTATTAAAGCTTATGCAAGCAGAAAAGCGCAGTCATCTGATTGGTTGCAGACGCCTGAACCTTGTGGTATACATCACTTTCTTCTTGCCCTTCGTGTGTGTACCAAGCGTTATAGCACGTTGTGCTTTGAGAGCTTTTTGGGCAGCTGCCGACTTTTTGTTTCCAGACTTAACAACCTTTCCGCCTTTAACACCCTTCAGAGCACTAAGTGATTTTGAGGTTTTTGTGCTTTTTTCGAAGCTTTTTATCATCCTTTGACTTCTTAGACTGATCCTTCGCTTTCTTCTCATGCTTTGAGGGTGCAGCCTTCGGAGCCATGCCTAATTTATGTGGGTTTGAGCGTTTTTTCCCTTTGTTTCTTTAAAAGGAACATCAGCAGGGCCGTACTTATCCCATAATGTTTTAAGATCTCTCTTCATGGCATAAGCATCCTCACCGTCTGCATAATATTTAGGTTCGATATCTGAAACTACAAATTGTAGTGTCTTCTTGTATAACGTTAGCGCAGCTCTGTTACTTTTCCGAACGTGCAAAGAGACATATCTGGCGTGAAAGTTCTCTACCATGGCTCGTGATGCAAGATTCATTAGGGTTTGAGCAATACCCAGACGTCGGTATGGCCGTTTAACAGCCAAAGATGTAATGTGTCCATATGGAACATCCTCTGGGTCTTCTTCCATTTTAGCCAGGACATAGCCAACTATCTCTCCATTATCAGTTTCTGCAACGTAGGAGAGTTGCATGTATACATACCATCGAGTTTGGCAACAACATTTAGTCCCCTACATTAGGCTATTTAGTCACTTGATAATTAGGTCCTTCATCTTTAATGACCAATAACTATATTGATTATTTAATTGAATTTCAGATTTCCCCGCCGATTGATTGGACCGAAGTGCTTGGTCTCATGTTGATATGTCGGCTTCGTGTGCAGATGGTTTGACGATGTCTGGGCATGTAATTAGAATTTAATTGGTGGATGAGGACTAGTGGTGGAATTCAGGGTGCGCATTTAGTTCAGTCAATGACGGGAAAATCTAAAATTCAATTAAATAATTAATATGACCCGTTGCACAAAAGGTGATTCTTATAGCCCAAATGGTCGAATGGATAACGTTTTGGCGGGAGAATATCATCACTCACTGAGGAATGCAGGTACATTCAAATGAAGAGTCCCAAATAGGACGAAATCCGCATCCTGGATTTCCCTGCTAGTCATCATCCCCACATTAAATGACTATATTGATATTAAAAGTGTTTATGGGTGCCTGAATTTGAAGAAATACAACGACATAAAATGACGTCATTTTATCCAGTCCAGTTTATTCTTCATGCTTTGTTCTTTCATTCACTGAGTATATAAATCTCCATTTGTAACTTCTGTTATTTTATTATTAAGTCAGATTGCTTCCAGAACTTATGTGCAATACTTTGAAGTGTTTCGACTAATGTATGAAACATGTTTTAGATGGAGAACTTTTAAATATTGTTATTAGGAGACTTCCGGTAGATGTTGGAACGACATGATGAATTCTTCGTTATTCCATTCTTCGAAATACAGGTTCTTTTTAAAATAAAATTTTCTTAAAATTATGTAGTTAATGCATTCATAGACAACATTTGCATTGTGGAGGATATTTCTGGTCAGGCTTTCAATAGCTATCGATGTTTATTATTATTATTATATCCTTTAATTCCTTGAGGAACATAGGGCTTCAGCTGCGCGTCTCCATTGCATTCGATTTTCTGCCAACTTTTTCATCCCGCTCCAAGTCTGCCCACACGCTTTCATCTCCTCCTCGCATGACCTCCTCAAGTCACCCTTGCACTGACGACCAACTCGCTGCTTCCCTTTCGGGTTCCACTCGAGCAATAACTTGTCTAGAGATGTCACTTGATGGCTCGTTTCCTCAGAGTATGGCCAGCCAATCCATCTCCATTTCTTCCTGCCTATTTGTTTCACAGTTGGATCCTGCTGGGTTGGTTCGTTCCCAGAGATCCCACCCTGTTGCTGACTTTTCTGGCCGGCCATCTGATCTTGAGTTCTGAGTGAAGACAACTGTTGATGAAGGCCTGAAGTTTGTTTGAGATGCTTTTTATGACGCGCTAGCCAAGTCTCTGATTCGTATAGTAGCACCATAGTATAGTAGCGTTATTTTACATTATTATATAGTAAAACGAAGCTCCAAGCAACCAACTGAAAATTAACCTCTCTCTGGCGTATAATCATTATTCAGATCAGTTTTCTTGCTAAAGAAAAAGAATACGATCTGCATAAGTATTGTGCTAGTTAACATTCTTTCGGGAAATTGTATCAAGCAAATATTACTTGACGCAAATAGTTCTGTAAATTCACTGGTATTTGTGTTTTTTTCAGTTACATTATTTGTTTTATTTACACAGATTCATTCTGCTCTTGAGATATTACTCAGTGACCATGAGAAAATCATAGATTTTGTCGGTAGCCCAGCGGTTAGGACTCTCGCCGATTATACACATGGTCCGAGGTTCGATCCCCTGCTGACGCACACCAGATATCCTATGGTCGGCCTGCAAAATTTGAGCTACCGATATCATATGCTGAAATTCCATACTTGTACCGAAAATACGGTGTGGCATCAAGCTGTAATCAAATATTTTAAAAAATTCATTACGGTATTCTCTTAGTTATTTAGACCTCAAAGCTTAGTTTCTATCTTCGCGGTGGAAAAGACGTCAATCAACGTATTGATCCCACTGTTATACAAGAAATATATCAAGATCAACATCAATAATACGAACAACAAAACCATCATTGGTCAAACCGCTGTTTGTATATCTACAGCTTAAATATTAGTTAACCAATCACTCAGCGTGTGATTTCGATTTAAGTCAAACGCCGTGATATAGAATGTTCAAATAGACATAGTATTCTGTTACTGATGCAGTATTCAACTGTGGGAAGGTATTCTGCCTATAACATCTAATAGAATGTTCAAGCAGATATATATCGTATTTTGTTGCTAATGCCAAACTGGACTGTGGGAACATGTGAGAATAACATTTGTTGGCACACACTGTCTGTCTTACACCACCATAATACAACTTGTAACATTTAATAAAACGACACCAAATACTATTTCAACAGTCTTTTAGTTATCAACAGGAGTGAAGCTCTCCAGTACCAAATATAGTAAGAAAATCGTGGTGAAATAAAACATAAAGATGATGAGTTGTCTTCATGTATTACGATCTATACATCTCATAATAACGAAATTTCTTGTAAGAAGAATAAATTCACTGCTGAGGTAGGCAAATCAGCAAACAGTCATATTAAATTAAAGTGAGCAGAGCTCATAAGATAGAAACAAAGCCAAATCTATTGGGAAGGATGTCTGATACTAAAAACAAACACAAAGATATTTCCATTAGATTCAGTACTTCGGATTCCTTTCAGAATGGTAAACATCGAAAGTCGAAATCGCCTTCAAAGTGCCGTTAGGCAGCTATATTGAGCAAATCAGACTTCAGATACAAAACAAGTACAATACAACAGAATCATTAAGCAAAATCAGACTCAGGAAGTACCTGAGAATTAAGAAGAATATTCCTAGCAAGTTAGGATCGAAACTCCGTCAACAAGAATCACATGCCAAACAATTCACTCAGACACTCGAAGGTCAGAATGATCCTGGCTCACCCAAACTTAATCATATTGTCAAAAACAGATTATCAATCAGTCGCATTAAAATTAGAGATTCAACAGGGACAAAGACAAATAATAAGGACCAAGTGGACACTTGATATGCAAATGTCAGAGCAATGATATACATTCTGGCAGAAAAAACAGATAATAATTTCCAAGTTAGTCGAAACATCCAAATAAGTATTAATATTGTAATCAGATCGTCGTTTTCTAACTCCATACTGTATGTAATGAACTCGTTCACCCTTTTAGACATCAGAAATTTTTTAACGGAAATGAGAATATAAGATACACCGAGACATCCTCCTCAAACACATTACAGTTATGATCTTCAAAATGTTAACCTTCATTTATGTGACAAACCCAATAATCTTTCTCTTAATTGACATGAAAACATCTTGAATTTATCTTCCTCAATAATATGTCACTATTGAAATTGGAACATAATAACCTTCTTGTCTTTTATTATTATTATTATTACTATCAAATTTGCCTTTCGTATTTCCTTCTCTTCAGAAATATTGACCTAATTATTCAAACTGAAAAAGTAAAGCAATAAGAATGAAAAATATTAAAATGTTTTGTACTATTAGGAATACAGTTTTTTTACCATTTATGTAGGTCATATCAAAAGTATTTTCAAAATGATAAATTCGCTTTTATTTGTTTTATTAAGTGTTAATATTTAATAAATTAGCATTCAGTTGATACTAGTTGCAACTGTTTAGACGATTGTTATAAGAGTGAATAATTTACAGACTTCAGTAAAGGTCCTATTTTTGATGATATTAGATGGCTGGATGCAATCAACACCGAGTCTTGGACCTAGGTTTTATGCTTGTTGGCACTCACCAATGAGCAAGGTGTATCTACAACCTTGAAGGAACTCATGTCCTTTCTGAGATTTGAACTTAAGTTATCTGTTGCTGCAGTCAGAGACTTTACCAGTGAGCTATTTGGGCTCGTGACTGACTCCTGTAGGACTGCAGTGGATACTTTGATTGGGCACTAGTACCTGATGTAATGTGTCTAGTCCTTTGTTTGGTGCTGACTGAATTGTATCAGTCAGGTTTTCAATGTGGCCACCTAGAATGGTGCCAACTAGCACGAAACCTAGGTCCAAGGCTTCTTGCTGATTACCTCACACCATCTAATATCATTAAATCAATGTGCACCGTGATTGAAAGCTATGTAGAATTGTGGCCACATTGCAAACCTGACTGGAAGAATCCAGTCTGCACCAAAGAAAGGACTAGACACATCACACTAGTTACTAGTGTCCATCAA